ACTTATTAGGGGCTCCTGGTCAAGATGGCAGCATAGCTAAATGCAGTATTCACACCCTCATACAACCACATCAATATAACAACTAAACTACAGAACAACCATCATTCAGAACTGCCTGAAATCTAGCTGAACAGAAGTCCTGTAACTAAGAATATAAAGAAGCCACTTGGAGACTAGTAGGAGGGGCAAAGAAGTGGAACAAGCTGGCCCCACACCCACTTGTGGCATTTAAAAATTGTGAGGGATATCTTCGCTGTGGAGGTCCCCCCTGAAAAGCAAGGGGTCCCAACCCCACACAGGCTCCCAGTCCATATTTCTAATGCTGGAGAGAGAAGTCCTCATAACTGAAAACCAGCGGGGATTGTGGTTGAGTGAGATGGAGGCTGTCTGGAGTCCCAGGTGTTGCTCTTAAAGGGCCTGCATGCACTTAGTCAAACTTACTTACTCTGAGCTCCAGCACTGGAGAAGCAGCTCAAAGGGCACCCTTGCTGATCCCTTAACCCACGGAGCTGGCAGGCAAGTGCCATATCTTAGTCCTCATTAACCTGGCTCTCATTCTTCGCCCTGCTCTGGTAATTCCCTGAGGCTGTGCCCCACCCAACTTTCAGGCCCACTCAGGCCTTTTCTAGTGGCTTGTCCAAATAAATGGTCTATCTTGGCTCATGCTGTGAACTTCCTAATATCTCTCAAACAAGCTGCATCTGGCCTCTGCCTACCCTGTACCTTTTGCTAAGTGGCCCCAGGCCTGGCACTAGCAGTAGCCAGCCTTGATTTGTAGCTTGGCCTCTCCCGGGCATCTCTAAGCCCAGCACAAGTAGCAGCCAGCTCCAAATCACTTTCTAGCTCATGCTGGACCCTGGCCAGGCCAGCTGACCTTTGTCTGCACCTTCCAGGAGACCCCAGAACCAGTGTACCTGGTGGATGGCTTCAGGCCAGGTAGAAACACCACAACCACCTCTGTGAGTAATACACTCAAGGGGCAGACTCAGTGGGCACCAGAGCCTCACCAAAGTAAGTCTTGCTCCGTGGGATCAGTCTCTGCACAGAGACGCTCCACAGTGGTCATGGTCAGTCTTTGCAGTTCCTTGGCCTGGGGTAAGTCCCTTCCATTGATGTACCAAAAGCAATTAAGGCTCAACTACAACAGGGGGGAGCACACAGCCCACACGAGATGGGGAGGTGCACGTGGAGTACCTAGTGAGGGTGACTGAGAAGGCTGCACTGCTGGGCCATAGAGGACACCTACTACATAAGGCTACTCAGACTGGGCGACCTAACAGCTCTAACTCAATAAATAGAAACAAACACAAGAAGGCAACCTAAATGTGGAGACCAGGAACATGTTCCAAATAAAAGAACAGGACAAAACTCCAGAAAAGGAACTAAAGAAAATGGACATAAGCAATCTATCAGTTGCAGAGTTCAAAACACTCGTTATAATGATGCTCAAGAAACTTAGGGGAAGAACTGCTGGTCTCAGTGAGAACTACAACAAAGATCTAAGAAGCATAAAAAAGGAGATAGAAAACAAAACGAAACAGTCAGAAATGAAGAATACAATAACTGAAGTGAAGACTACATTGTAGGCAATCGATAGTAGAATAGATGGAAAAAAATAGTAGAATGTTTCAGTGATTTGGAAGATGAGGAAGGAGAGAACACCCAATCAAAACAGCAAAAAGAAAAAAGAATCCAAAATATGAGGATAGCTTAAGGAGCTTCTGGGACAACTTCAGGCATAACACCAACACACACATCATCAGGGTGCTAGACAAAGAAAAAGAGCAAGAAATTGAAAACTTGCTTTAAAAAATGACAGAAAACTTCATTAAACTGGCTAAGGAAATAGACACACAAGTCCAGGAAGCACAGAGTCCCAAACAAGATAAATCCAAAGAGGCCCACACCAAGACACATCATAATTTAAATGCGAAAGTTTAAAGACAGAGAGAGCCCTGGCTAGTGTGGCTCAGTGGATTGAGCACCAGCCTGTGAACCAAAGGGTTGCAGGTTTGATTCCCAGTCATGGCAAATACCTGGATTGTGGTCCAAGTCCCCAGTGGGAGGCGCATGAGAGGCAGCCACACATTGATGTTTCTCTCCCATTCTTTCTCCCCCACTTCTCCTCTCTCTAAAAATAAAATAAATAAAATCTTAGAAAAAAAAATAAAGACAGAGAGAACATCTTAAAAGCAGCAAGAGAAAAGCAGTTAGTTACCTACAAGGGAGCTCCCATAAAGCTGTCAGCTGGTTTCTCAACAGAAACTTGGCAGGCCAGAAGGGATTGGTGCAAAATATTCAAAGTCATGAAAAGTGAGGACCTATAACAAAGACTACCCTACCCATGAAAGATGTTATTTAGAATCAAAGGACAGATAAAGAGCTTCCCAGACAAGAAGAAGCTAAAGGAGTTCATCACCATTAAATCAGTATTACATGATGAGACTGTAGATAAATAGTGTTCTTTATGTAAATTTTATGAGACTGTAGATAAATTTGTTCTTTACATATCTTTGTATTTTATGTATATTTTAAAAGTGTACTATTTCTTTATAATGGGTAGAGAAACGGAACCACGCATGTTAACTTTGACACAGTCATTCATATAAATAAAGAGGATTAATCAAGGCAATGTGCATATTCAGTATGTAGTCCTGGCAACACTAGTTGGCTTGGGGACATGAGAGACCTGGGTTTGTACAGCCACTGTTTTTGGTATAGTCTTGGACAGGCCACCTTCTCCCTAAGCCTCTGGTTTGATTTTTCTATTGTAAAGTGGAGATAACCCTTTTCTCATGAGTTAGTTGCAAGAACTGCATGGAACAATGTCCACCAATCCTGAGCACAGTAAATTAACAGCTGCTTAGCAGTGGATTTTCCATAAAGCCAATGAAACTTCAGGGTTCTAGCAACGTTTTCACATGGTCATATGTTTTTGTAAAATTTACAAATTATAAATTTATAATTTTTGTAAAATTACAAAATGATATTTTGCAATTATTTTTCTTAAACCAGGTCCCCCAAATCTTGTAGAGATATTTTATTTTAATATCACCACAATGCTATGGAATAGGGATTGTTATCATACAAGTGGGAAACTTTCCTAAGACCACACTGAGTGTGGTGGAGTCAGGATTCAAACTCGAGCAGTGTGCATCCGAGGGGTGTCTAACACCCATGACTTAATCATTCGTCTGCTTTCCCAAACTTGCATCTTGCCTTGGATGAAGAATCACCAGGGGCCCCCTATGAAAGTCCACATTCCAGGGCTCGTCTCAGAGCTACCACATTGCTCTTCAACCTGTTGTCTCCATATAATGAGTTCAATACAGGATGGCTAAGATTGTTATAAAACTTGTTTTTATTGTAATAGAAACTTCAATCTTGAGTCTAACATCATTTTCTTAAGTAAAATCTCTGAATACAGAAAATGTTATTATAGTAAACACAACTATGATATTCCTCAACCTCATCTAAATGTGTATAACTGTAGGGAGGCAGGTGTAATCAGGAAGAATTTCACAACATTTGCCTATGGCCTATGGAGCCTGGAGTTCGTGCCTTGGTAAACTGAAGTTGAAGGTGACGGTTTTTGGTCTCTAATGTACTCCTTTTGATCAGGAATGTATTCCCTCTCTCTTTCAACTCCCACAAGACCATTCTAATAACCTGTGGCTTGGACACAGACAGCAATAGAGAAGAGAGACATAGAATCGGAGAAATGGGCAAGGGCAATGATGAGGGCTATGTTCCATGAAGAAAAACATTTTTAAAGATTTTATTTATTTTTAGACAGAGGGGAAGGGTGGGAGAAAGAGACAAAGAGAAACATCAATGTGCAGTTGCCTCTCGTGTGCCCCCCACCGGGAACTTAACCCAGACATGTGCCCTGACTGGGAATTGAACCAGCAACCCCTTGGTTCTCAGGTTGGTGCTCAATCCACTGAGCCATACCAGCCAGGGCCAGAACCATTTTTAAATTGACTTGTTTCACCCTCAAAATTCTTTCTTCTGTAGAAAATGGGGAAAAACTCTTAAATAACAATAGCAAATAATGAGGAGACTGCCTAGACCACTTCGGAGGCAGTCTTAGAAGCTATGTTGTATTTCTTAGCCTCATTTCTATTGCAGAATTTTTCTTAGGTATGTGTTTCAAAAGTAGAGGTGAACATGTCCTTTTAAGTTATGGGACCTAATGGATTGAATGGAATGAGCACTCAAAACCTGGTTTTAAATGCTCTCAACTCAGCCCTTTATTGCTTTAGTTTCTTCACATACAAAATGAAATATGCCATGTATTAATAAATGGGTAATTAAGATCTGAAATATCCACATAACAGAATATGATCCAGCCATAGAAGGGAAGAAGCACTGACACACACACAGCACCAAGAAGCCATGAAAAGAGTGCGCTAAGTGAAAGAAGCCCGCTGCAGCAGTTCCATGTATGTGAAAAGCACAGACCAGCTGAATCTCTAAGGACAGAAAGTAGACTGATATGTTAGCTAATGGGTATGGATGGGGTTTCTTTCTGGAGTGCTGAAATGCTCTAATATTCACAATTCTGTGAATGTACTAAAAACCATTGACAGGTACACTTTAAATGGTAAGTTGTACAGTGAGTGAATTATATATCAATAAAACTGTCATTGAAAAGAGAAATAAAAAGAAATAATTCCTTCCCAGCTCAGATATGCTGTGACTTTCAAATACGTTGTTTTTCAAGTAACAGAACTATTTCAAACCATACAGTGATAATTATTTTTAGATTTCATTGCTTCCTTAAGTTGAAAGCTGATATATGAAGAATTCTCCAGCGATGACTGCCATTTATATAGACCAGAGAGGCAGAGCTGCTTACAGCTGTGTTCGTGCAGGTCTGATAACAGGCAGATTTTTAAAGTTCGTGAGAATGACGAGGGGAGGGAAAAATAGCTGGACTGTCGTCAGCTTCTTGAGCTCACAGGTTGTTTCTGTCTTGTTCTCTTTTGTAATCTCAGCGCTGAGTCCAACGTCTGCCTGCATAAGTGAGAATGAATAATGAATGGATAAGTGGTGAAACTGATTAGCTGAAGGTCAACCAGTGAAAAAGATGAGACGCCTTTGCCCAGCCAATAAACCATTTTACCAGCCAACGTGGTCAGGTCTTGCTTTTATGCTAATGGTGAGTGGGGGATTTTGGTGTTCTACTTATTCCACCACCAAGGGAGTGCTAATTCTCTTTCAGTGTTGCAAATCACAATGGTTCTTTATCCTCCTTAAGAGTGCAAAGAGGGAGGGCAGCTAATGGTAATGAAAAAAAAAATAAAATAAATTAAAAAAAAAGAGTGCAAAGAGGGAAAGTTTTACTCTATGGTGATTTTATCAGTGTCATGGCTAAGATTTGCTTCATGTCTGTAAGTTGTGGTGAGCCAAGGAGAGGCTTGGTTTCGAGAGCAAAAGCATCATGAGGCCTGGTCTGGTCATGCTGGGAGCACTGAGGGCCTGTGGGACAAGCTGGGGGGCCAGCCTTGCTGCAGCACAAAGGCAAAGCATTCATAAGGTGGTTTGCAATGAGGACAATAATTTTGTGTGGTCTTGGCACTTGTAGGTCACTGCGATGCGGACAGGAGTCACCAACTTCAGGAAGAGGCAACTGCTCCCTATTTTTTCATCTGGAAAGGACTTAAGAGTTTGGCCCAAGTTGGCATTATGGTGCACCAGGGCCACCACCCCTGAAATGAGGGCTGGGGGTGATCCAAGGAGAGGACTCTCTACTTCCTACTGTGGGTTCTTGAGACTCCCCTCCTCACTCAACTTTTTAATAAAAATCTTTGCCATCCACAGAGGTCTCATTGGAACCTCTCTGAGGGACACGTGCGTAACAACCGAGCATATGTAACTGATGGACCTTGGGGTCTGTACCACTCTGAGCAAGAGCTGCTTTGTCCAAAGCCTGGATATTTCCATTTAGAAAATAAATCTGGCTTAAAAGAGGTTTCCACATGACAGGAAAAAACACAATCAGTTAAGAAGAGATCTAGGAATGTAACTGGGTGTCAAAGCCTTCTTGCAGATGGATGGATTCCAGATTTTTCTGCCTATGCTCACACGGTAGGTCCTTCCCATCTGGGAGACTTGGCAGCAGTGACAACAGAAGCCTTGTCCAGGAAGGGACTTCGGTTCACCTTTTACTTCCCTTCCTGTATCTCTAGTCACTTTCTTGGACAACATGTTTTGGAGCTACACAGCAAAAACTCTAAACTCCAAAATCCCCACTAAAAAAAATTACTTGCCTACGGGAACTGTATGTACCATACGAAGTAGATAGTCTTTCCATCCCCTCCTCCACGCATTTCTTCCAAAACAGACATCTAAAAAATCCAGGAAGTCAACAAAGGAACAAATAAACAAGCACAAACTGCCAGTAAAACCAGCCCAAACAATAAAACATCTCCCAGTCTCTAGCCCCCTGTATTTGAATAAACATGTTAAAAATATATTTGGCTATGACTTTTGATTATACTGTCTTTGAAGTTATTTATTTTAGATCATAAATATGAAGACCAGGGCCCACGTTTATTCAGGGGACAGTGTGAGTGAAGTTAGGACATAGACTTTGGAGTTAGGCAGAGCTAGCCTGGGATCGGGCTCCATATTTACCAGCTGTGTAAGTTGGTCAACGGGGCAAGCAAGTGACTAGTCTTTTGAAGCTTCACGTGTGAGATGGGGAGGAGAACACTCGCCTGGGATTTGCTGCGGAATGTAGTGACACGCTATGTGAATGAAACAGTAATCTAGAATAATCACACCCTGTCTGCACCATTCTTCCAGATAACCAATTCTATTTGCTTCTTATCCCGCCAAAGTTCCCTTGTATAAATATAAGCAAATTAAAAATATATTATATATACATTATACTTATGTGTATTCATTTGCCTCCTTGTTTACATAAGCAGAACATACAACCGCTCTGGACCTTGTTTTTTTTTTTTCACTTAATCTATCTTGGAAATCTTTCCATATCAGTACAAGGACAGCCTCCCCATTCTTTTTTTTTTTTTTAAATAGCACAAGATCCCATTGTGTGGCTGTAGCACAGTTTATTTAACCACCCCTTATTATCTGACTCTTGGATTACTTCCAGATTTTTTTCTATAACAAACACAGTTGTAGTAAATATCCTTGTATATAGTGTCCTTTTTGCATGTGTGAGGATATCTAAAAAGGTTATGCATTTGTAATATTTTTTAAACAACTTTATTGAGGTATAATTTACGGTGTTTGTGATTTTGATAGTTCTTCTCCTCGAATTGCCCCCCGTGGGGCTGTGCCATTTTGTTCTCCCAGCAGTGCAGGAGAGCCGGCCTAAACCTCCCCTAGAAGTGGGTACTTCCAAAAAGGCAGGGGTGGAGGGCCCAGAAAGGATTTGGACTTTCTTCCTTTAAAAATTACTATGTTAACAAAACTTTTACATGCGGATGTATTCTTATGGTAAAATATTTTGGGCCGTTGAAATATATGGTAAGAATGTAAAGGTCTTGACCAACACTGGTTTCTTCCCTGCAACCAGTCCCAGCCCCTCCCACAGGGTGAACTGTCGGACTATCAAATCCCCTTCTCAGTGCCCAACCTCCCTGAGGTTGGAGATCTTCAAAGACCTCTTCCCCAAGATTCTCTCTGCCTTTGGCTTCCATTGAGACAGGCTAGTAAGGCAGAGCAAGTGGAAGAAGGAAAGTGAAACATAGTTCAATGGCCAAGCAGTTTATAGCCATCTGGTAAATGCCAAATCCTATCTTCTCTAACCAAGGACACTTAAGAGCAAATATTAAACCTGTCCTCCCCAACCAGAGAGTGAATAGCTTAAATCACCCTACTCAGGGAGATAGATAACAAAAATCCAGTTAGTGCCATTTGTCCCAACCAAACCCAAGGACAGATGGAATCGGGAATAAATCTCATTTTGGTGCATCAGCAGAGAGCTGATGATTATACTGTTGAGATCCTCCCCAAGTCCTCCCCTAAACTCCCAGCCTTTAAAATTGGCAGGACAAAGGACCCAGCATGGGTGCTCCCTCCTGCCAGCACGCGGCACCTTCCCTTCCCCCTCACCTTTGCCTTTCCCTCTCCTACGCCCCATGGCCCTTCATTTGCTTCTGTCACTTGTTTCCTGACCCTGCGCAGGTTCACGCAAGTGAACCCCAGCCGGCTCACTTCTACTACCTCTGTGACTTTCTAAATAAGCTTTCTCTTATAACTGGGTTCTTGGCTCTGAAATATTTCTTTGCCGAACTCAAGAACCAAAGTCCGATTTCGCTGCCAACACAGTGGGTGACACCGTGACGTAAACATTCATCTGGTTCTTTTGTTATTTCTCCGATCTTTCACCATCATCTCTGCCTTCTCTTTCTTCTCTTGCCTTGAAAACCAGGTCTAATAACAGGCAATATTTTTTGAATGCTGATGATGCACAAGTCAGAACCCCAAACCACAAGGGGCTTAAGGTCTTGGGGGTGTGGCGGGTTGTGGAAAAAAGTAGCTGCAACAATCTCTCTCCTTTCCCTAAGTGTATTAGTCTGCGTGGGCAGCCATCACAAAATACCACAGACGAGTGGTTTAACAAAGATTTTTCTCACAGTTCTGGAGGTGATAAGTCCAAGATCAAGGTGTTGGCAGGACTGATTTCTTCTTAGGCCCTTTCCCTCTCCTTGGCTTGTAGAGAGTCATCTTCAGGGGTGTTCCCCCTCCTTGTCTATCAGAATCCTAACCCGTCTTCCTGAGAAGACACCAATTACGTCGGGTGGGGCTCCCGGTGATGGGAAGGACAACAAAGCCACAACAAAGCCACAACAAAGCCGTATTGTAAAGGAGCTGAGCTGTGCTCCACCCTTCCAATTCACTGGTCAGAGACAGGGTCTTTAAAGAGGCAATTAAGTTAAAACGAGGTCATTAGGGTGGGTTCTAGTCCAACAGGATTTGTGGCTTTACAAGAAGAGGGGAATAGGATACACACAGAGTGAAGATCAGGTAAAAACTCAGGGAGGAGAAGATGATGTGGGAGTTCAGAATAGGTCACCCCAAGATGTGCCTCTGTGGTATGCAGATTTTTCTGAGTTAAAGGTAACTTTAGAACTGAGAAAATCCAGTGGAAAAAAAAAGGTAACTTTAGCTGCAGGCTCAAGAGGAACTTCTGCCCCTCCCTTACCTACCTAGAACTTGAACTAGGGGCCTCGCCCTTAATAAGAGATTACCAGGTATAACTGTTTTAGGGCAGGGAAAATTACTAATTACTGAATGTGCGCTCTCCCTGCAATGACCTTCGGAGGCCCCGGGGTGCACTACTAAGTCCCTAGTCACAATGTCTATGTTCCCATTTTCCCTTTCTGTCTCCAGACCTCTCGTGTGTGTGGGGGTCTCTCCTGCAGGCAGGGTTTTCACACATATGTATGTAATTTAATTTGGTTATTTTTGCTTATTAATCTGTTCCAGGTCTATTTGATTAGTCGACCAGCAGAAAGAAATGTGAAGGTAGAGGAAAGGTTCTTCCTCCCCCACAATGGCTATCAACAGCCAAAGAGACAGGCTTCAGGAGAAACCGTTACTGGTGGTATTTAGCTGGAAAAGGGGAGCAAAGGGAACTAGACCTTGAGTTTAATAAACTGGGAAGCAGAAGCCTGCTTGCTAGCCAGGAAGCTACAGCTTCACACCTCAGGGGATTCCAGCATTTTTCTGCCAAGAGGATTTACTCTCCTCCCTTCTCCCCTCTGGTACCAGGTGACTGGGTGGGAGCAGGGCAATGCAGGCACTTAGACAACAGAACTCAAAATGGCACAGGGGGAGGTGCTGGATCAGAGGGGCCTGTCAGTCTAGCCTGGGGAAAGAAGGGATTGGTTGGGAGGTGGAACCACGTGGAGCATGTGAAAATTTGGGAAGTTGATTGGTCATTTTGAGAAAGCACTTGGTCTGTCCCACACCCAGGCTAATATAACCCCAGAGGAGGAAAGAAGCTCACCCTCTTTTGCCCACTGGTGATGGGTTCATTGGTTTGTTGATGGGCTCTCTCACCGGGGAGCATGCCATGAAGTGGGCCCAGCAGCTCCTGGCCCGCAGCAGATGATGCGGGCTGCAAAAGCTCTGAGCTCTCTTTTGCCTGGGTGACTCACACTCGTACTGCGCATTAATGTGTCCTCTCTCAATGGCCACGTAGTCCTAGCAGCCACCTGGCCCGTGGTCGTGCAACTCCCCACGCAGGCTCAGAGGGAGCCTCAAATGGACTGCTGCTGGAAACACACACTCTATACCAGCTGGGTGCTGGGCTGGCCTGGACTTGAACATGGAACATAAACTCTGGGTAGTGGCTTTCATCCTGGCTGTACTGAAGATAAGATTGTGGGTTTTCCAGGGCAAGAAGAATGGAGATGGGACGCTGGGAAGCCAGGAGGGGAACCCCCTTGATTTTACATCATCAATAAACGTACCACAGAGCCACATCCTCCCACATGGGTCTCAGGAAATTCTTTTCCTTTAAATACCGCAAGAGGCCCACTTTCACTGTTAACAGAAGGTGTTCCACCAGCAACAAAACCAACCCTGGCAACTTCTAGCCTCCAGCACTGTGAGAAAATAAGTTTCTGTTGTTTAAGCCACCAAGTCTGTGATACTTTGTTATGGCAGCCTTAGCAAACTAATACAAAGGATTGTGCCATTTGCTTTACAGTATGTCATAAAAAGAACTTACTTCAGAACAGAATGTGTGCTTGAATACATGAACCAGAAAGGGCCCATCTTAGGGCTGGCTGCTGATTTGGAGTTCATCCTCCGTTCCAACGAGAGCAACATGGCAGATGCCACCAAAGGGAGCATGCTCCCTGTGCTGTCAGAGGCAGCCCCAGGGCAGGTCCTGGCCCAGGGCCAAGGTCACTGCCAGCATATCAGTAGGCACTTGAGAGGGAGAGAATTCAAGAGACAGATTTTGAGCATATACTGTAAAAGAGAAAAGGATCTTTGCTTCTACTAACAGATATGCTGAGAACATCCTGATGATATCCTTTAAAGAGCCATGACTATTTTTTGACTTAAAACATTTCAGTGACTTTAACAGGAGACATCTTGCTGGGTTTTTAAAAGTTTGCAGAGCTCCTCAGCCATTCTTGTTACAACACGTAGAGTAGCTGACTCCCAATGAGTTGTTTTATTAAAGGATTCACAGGGCTACCTATTATTAGTGTATATTATTTTACTCAATGCTTCAGACACTGGCTTTTATTTTACTGTTGCTATAGAAACCCAGGTCTGTAATAAGAAGCACTTTTAATTCCGACAATTAGGCTTATACAAAAGAATGTTTTAATGAAGTAAAGTATTTGGAGAGCCTAGCCAGAGGACTGTCAGAGGAAGAACCTTGTTCTCCAAATGGTTACAAAATTAGCTTATCCTTTGTTACAATTGCCTTCTTTGACAACTGCCAAGTGTTCATTAGTCAGGCCTTCCTAATGATCTGTGGTTT